ATGCAGTAACTATACTAATATTAAATATAATAACTTAATAAATGTTAAATTCAAATCTATAGATAAGTATAAGTTTTAGAGTTTAATGAAAGCAAAATATATGTAATATATATATTTACATATATTTTATAATAAATAAAATTATATCTAAATATATAATATATAAAGTTTTTAATACAAGTTATTTAAGGGAACATTAGCAAGTTCTGGTTTATAAAGCAGGAAATATCAATAACGTTATGATAAAAATACACAAACTAAGTTAGAGTTACAGTAGTACGTGTTAAGATGAATTATTAAACTCACTCACTGGGTTCTACAGTCAATTTAGTACCAGAACCAAAGAGAATCCTGTTAAAACCGGATCCAGGAGTCCCACCGTGACGAGGACAGCAACAACAACAACACATAGTGGCTTTCCGTCAAAACATCCCCAGATCTGTAATTTAATAGTTTGTTCATAACTTTAATTTGATTTGATATATCTTACTTGATTCCATCTGTAGAGAAGTTCCAGAGCCGAAGAGAAGCTTCACTCCAACATTCACACACTAAGAACACGACCAACAAGAACCTTTAAAGGCATTAAAGTCGATTGAAATGGACTTCATAAGGAGTTGCATCTGGCTTAATAAATCAAAATGCTCTCATAAATATTGATACAGAGTATATCTAATAATTTGGAGGTGAAGGAGAGTTTCAGGCTAACTAAAGGTCATTTTAAAGAAGTTTGTATATATATATATATATATATATTTAATATATATATATATATATATATATTTACATATATGCTTATATAACTCACCTGATTCAACGTTCAGTTTAGAGCCAAAACCAAATAAGATCTTTCCCCCAAAACCATTCACACAGTCATGAATGCAACGACATAAACCCGCGGAGACGAAACATCCACTTCTTACTTCTCCCTATTATTAGTATTTATTATGATACATTAAACAATATTATTATATAAGTCCCTTTTCAGTCAGAGGGCTTTTGGGAAATATTTTAGCTGACTATGAAGTTGACTTCATGTTTATTTCCAATAATAACTCAAAGTTCCACTTTTTACTTTCGGTCTGTTGAAATATTTGAGGGAATATCTTACATATTTATTTCATAATCACCTCTAGAATTGTAATATTTGAATATCATTTAGGTGGAGCCTTAATGTCTCATCGGGAATTGACTTCATATTTTGTTATGTTTGAAGTCGCTTTTAGTAAAATTCCCGACATCCGTGTTGTTGTGTCTCTTATTGCGGTTTCATTCAGAAATTAAAAAAAATAATTATATAATTATTCAACTTACGCTCCTCCAACTTCCGTTTGGTACCGAACGCAAAGAGGATTTTCCATCTCTGAAAGAACATCGAATACACCAGGACCACAACCAGGACCTCAACCAGGACCACACCAGGACCACACCAGGATCAGGACCGGGACCACACCAGGATCAGGACAGACACTTTTGATGTGGACCAAATATTGGCTGGCACAGT